TGCTCTTCTCAGTGTGTACAACTGACTTACTGTGATCTTTCTTGCATTAGGTGATTATGTGTGCTGTACTATCCACTCACAAAGGAGCAATAAAGTCCTAAGAAGGGTAGCTCAGCCTAGTGTCTTATGCTGTGCAGTGTAATCTGGATAGCAAAGGAGAAACACACAGCACTCAGTTTAGTGTCTCATACTGTTCACATTTATGCAAAGCTGTGTGTATTAGATAATATAGGCATGGTATCGGTAAAATATCAATCACTGTTGTACAATGATCTCCACCCGATTCTTCCCAATTTCCAATGTACAAGAGAGACTCAGGGATAGTTATATGAACTCTGTTTCCTTTACAGGTTTATTATAGTGGGGTGGGGGTACATATACAGATTTCTGGAATTCAGCTTTAGGAATGTAATGTGCAACTAAGATATGCTAATAAGCAGCAAAACAAAACACAACATTCTGATTATTCTTAAAGCTTAAGTGCGGCAAAAAAATAAAAATAAAAACAGCACAAGGTACATAAATTACATTCAGTATGTTTCCCTTGTGCTGATGCCTTTTTTGTTGGGTGAAATCCTCTTCCTTCCATACTCCCCAGTCCCACAATCTTCCAGTGCGGCAGGGGTTAATAGAACTGTGGAAGCTGTCACAGGCTCTCATCAAGAGTGCCCAACTATGCCCATCCTTTCCAATCAGCTACTCCATGTACAGAAGCTGAACTACTACTAAATGGAGAACAGGCAGATGACTAAAGGGTATGCCCCTTCCATTTATAAATTCTGTTTCATTCATAGAAGCAGTAAATAGCGGCTGTTAGATTAAGGTAAGTAAGCGCATATAGAGGGGGAGTGATGGTTTATGTTAGGTTAGAGAAAGGGGGGCACTATGCTTATAAGTACCCTTATTCTTCATTATTCTATCTGACCCTTTCAATTCTGTTGTCAATCTGCAGGTGGAATTTTTTGTTTTAATATGCATCTGAAGCCAACTATTTGTAACTTGTCTACTGGTTAAACATCCTATTCTTTTGTTGGTTTATCAACACACTGCATATAAGAACTAAATTATTTGAATTAGGCCATAGCAAGATATTCAGAAGAACATTTACAACAGTAGAGAATCAAGCTACCTAAACAATGTAATCAAATGACATACCATCATACTACACAGTTGTTGGGATACTGCAATTTGTTCACTGGATGGAAAAAAAAAAAAAAAAAAATCACAGTCCATGCCGATTTGGAAAATGTCTCACCAAAAAAAGCAAAAATGATGCAATGTCCTATTTGCAGTACAAACTGATCCCAACCTGATCACACCATGAATGGCAATACTGAGGAGTGAAGAGCAATGAAAAAACAAGCAGAGAAATGATTTACATCACATCTAAAAATGGTTATCAAATCAATATTTTCTCAAATCAACTCCACCCTAGCTGAAATCCAGGCAAATAATTTAAACATGTAATTCAGTTATGCTAAATAATATATATCTTTACAACCAGAAAATCATTTTGTTTAAATCTGTTTTGATGTCAGACTTCTACAATGTACTAAACAGCAGACTGGGCAAGCACAGTTTTTTGCACCAATCAGGATGTACTTCTTTACACAGTATTGTCATTTCAACTCCGCGTACGTGCGGAAGGATAACCATATGAATGCGGTACTGCTTTTTCACAATCCCACTGGCAGGTTGAGGGAGAAGAATGAACTAGGAAGCTGGACTTCAGAAACCATTTTAAAATCTTTGGTCACCAGATAAAAGGCCAAAACCATGAACTCAAGAGGAGGAATGTTGCCTGGAGCTCCACTTTCATCCCTATCTTTTGAAATGCTGTAATGGAAGTGAATACACCTAGCTGTGAAGAATATAACCATATATTAATGCAGCAATCAGACTTCAAATTAAAATAGACTAGGGATTTTTTCCCTGGTGCAACAAGCAGCTGCTAAAATACTGTAACTTAAAGCATCCAGACTCTGATTTATGTTTCTGATACAACACAGGCATTTAAATATACTATAGGTTACAGCACTTTTAAGCAGTTACCAGAGCAGCAATTTTAGAATAATGCCAACATTTTATTTCACATATGTTAAACCTCTTGAAATAAACAACTCGCCTTTCTATGGAATGTTTTCTTATTTAATTCTAGGTTTATGTAATTTCACTTGATATAGCTGGTATAAATTAAGTAAAATTGTAGTTACTGCTTTATTGTTAACTGCAGTAACTTTCAAAAGCATTACTGATCACCACGGTACTTGTATGCATTTCTGACTAGTACCACTAGCATAAGACTGCTGTACCAGATGTGAAGGCACATGCTTAGACATGTGTTCATCGAGCATATGCTGACATTGCACACATAGCAATGAGAAAAACCACTTAACTGTGAGCCTATAACAGTAACATTGGAACATGTTACGAATGTCCATCTGTAGTTCAGGAAATCACACATATATGTGACTATGGTCACAGCCAATGTCCCAACTGACTCTTGTTCTTTGAAGCAAAAAAAACTGTAGAAGCGACAAGTGCTCATGTTTTGACCAATCCAAGCTACATAGTATTTAGCTCTCTGCACTTCAATGCAGTGGCATTTTTTGCATTGGTCCACTCAACATCTGTAAACAAGCCTATTATAGCACTTTTTGGCCATGGAGTAAATTCTGAGGTAGTCCACACAAAGTCAGCTGACTTGCAGATTTGTTTGGAATAATTAGGTTGTTTCCTTGTAATCGCCAATAAATAGAGTCCTACTTAGGTCACAGTCTTGTTCATATGATCTCAAGCAAGGTCTTGGCAAGGGATGATCTTCTGCTTTGACTGAAGATGGCCCTTCACTTCTGAGTAAGGTTTTTTCAAGACCAACAACAGAATGGTGGCATAAGGGAGGGTGTGGTGCCGACATGTTGCCATCTTTCTTTATGGGCCAATTTGGACAAGGACACGAATCTGTAAGTGTGAAAAAAAAAAAATGAGACACTGTTCTCCTATAGCTAATCACAGAATAAAATACAGACATTTTATTATTAGACGTACATTGAATGTTTTTCTTAACCTTAGAGCTATTTGCCCAGCCTAGACAGACATGAAGCCTTTATGTATACAAACTATACTATACAAAAGGCCAGTGTCAACAGGCTTTTTGTCAGACACTCTTCCTTGTACAGTCAGAACTGCTTCTCACTCAAGCAAGTCAGCAGGAATACAAAAGAAGCTTGAAGCAGGTTGAGGTAGCTTTGAATGAAGTTAAATGCATCTGTCAATGGACTCCAAACCTCTTACACTGCTCTCAAATATACTTGGAAGTACCATTGCTAATCACAAGCCCAAAGCCTGTTAACACAAGTCCTACTGCAAATAAATCCCTAACCACTCTACATTCATGTTGTCCTTTCCATTGTAGATACAATCCATCCACCTCAACACCAGCTTCAAGGCCCATAGATCACCTTTTGCATTTGCCCCTATTATATTTTCTGAGGGCCAATTCACACACCAATGCATTGATCTGCATTTCAGCACAGCTGTAAAAAGCAGATCAATAGAAAGACATCTGAAAAACAATTTCAAATGTGCCCTATACACACCATAATGATGCGCATGCACGTCAACGGACTTCATAATGTATGTCAACAGACGCCAGCGCCTGTTAAACCGCAACTAAAATGGATGGTAATGTACATGCATTTCCCATACATTTTATGGCAAGTCAGTGTGAATTGGCCCTGAATGAGTAATGAAGTCAAACTAGGTCTTACCAGTAAAAACAAAGCTTTCATTTCTGCAAAGCTATAACATATTCTATTACATTTCCGTACAGAGGTTACATGTGAATAGCAGCAATGACTGAATATGCACAAAGACTTCTATATATTGTACTTGTGTAAAGGTTCACAAATGAAAAGGGTTGTTGTATAAAGGGCTCTTTGCACTTATTTTTGAGAACAGCACATTAAACATGGGAAAGTTCACTTTGAAATTTTGTATAGTGGATAAAACACAAGAACTGTCTAAGCTTGATTCTACAAAAAAAAGTAAAGAAATACAAAGTGATACACCTCTAGGATTACTATAGTGATTTGTGCAGAATATATCAATTCATTTCATGGGGCTTCTGTGTGAATAATATCCCTGTTGAAAGATGGAGCAAATAAGGATACACAGCTGTTGTTATTTTAGTGCTCAGTTTAAAGAGCTGGATACTACAAAAACCCTATCTTCCAAAAAACGTCAAGATTTACAATCACAGAAGTAAAAGAAAACACAGATTACTTACCACAGGTGGGCTTTGCACCCTCCTTTCTGTCATAATTGTTGAGGAATGCAGACATATCCCTCTTAGCAGCAAATGCTCCCACTTCATTAGAGTGAGACAGGAAAGTGTCCTTTGGAACTTGTGCCATAAAGCTAGACAAAGTTTGGTCCATTGGGTCTTCCTCTGTCATGTATGTATATGGACAATATTCTCTGGTCCGTGAGTAGATATTAGCATTATCATAACAATCAGAGCAAATCATATGTTGCCCAGCACCTACAAACATAATACATTCAGATCAGCAACATAAATACAAATGGGAAATTTAAAATACTATAAAAAAAAAACAAACATCTGAAAATGTAAATGTTTCTTACTTTTTGTAAACACTAAACAAATGGGATTAAATGTTAAATTAACTAAGCTACAGAAAAGAGGAATTTTGACTTGCCTGTAAATTCCATATCTTGGAGTTCAGTACAGGAATTACTCAAAACCCTGGGTTATAGGCCGCTAACACGTGAAGGTAGTAGCCTATAAGCCAGGGTCTATGAATATCCAGCCTGTGTCCTGTGCTATACGAACAAGATAAACCAATAGCCACAAAAATAGAAATAGTAAATACAACCACTGTTTGTGCAAGTGACATCTCACCTGGTGCTTGATGACTGTCACGCATCTCCCCCGGGGGGAAGCCTCCACGAACTCCATATAATGGGGGAATTCTGCTATTCTGCATATTTGGTGCAAATGGAGTATTCAGGATTTCTGCATCTGCTTCACTTCCAGTATCTACATATAATCCTTTGGAGAAAAATTACAAACCTTCTTTAAAAACACACACACATTAAGGAGTCATGAATACCAATAATATATGTGCATTTAAATATTAAAGTGGTATTAAACCCAAAACCAAAAATGTAATATGTTGCAGCTTATCCATCATTACATGTTGTGGCTACATTAGTTTTCTTTTTTAGGCCTTTTCACCTTTTTTTTTCCTGGTGATCTGGCCAGTAACACTCCTCCTGCATTAAGAGACACCACACTGGATGAAGGAGCATATGGGGCACCTTTGGACAGCAACATTGTCAGTTTGGGGGGAGGGAAGTGTTAGATGTACTAGCAGAATTAAATATAGTAACAAACTGAACTCTAGCTAAAACTTTATAATCAGTTACAGCAAACTTTTTCTTTTCCTTTTGGGATAAAGGTTGAATGGTTTTTCTCATCCATGTATTTGCAAGAGAACCTGTTCTCTAAAAAAAAATAAAATAAAAATAATAATAGGCTTCCTGGCTGGATCACCAGATGAGAATAGAAGACAGCCTTAAGAGGAAACTAATGCAGCCATCATATCTAAGAACTGTAAGCTGCAATATAATAGAAGTTTGCTTTTGGTTTAACACCGATTTAAATGTAAAATGCTTGTGTAAAAAAAAAAAAAAAAAAAAAAAGAAGAAAAACCACCCTACTTGTTTAGGCTTCTGCCCTGTATTAAATAAATCCCCCTTTTCCCTACCATCTTTTGTAAACACTGTAATCCCGGTTTCCTGTACTTGGCAAACAAATTTCAAAGATACTCAAAAAAATATTACATTTTATGGCTCAACTGCAATACCCAATACAAAAGATGGTGGAGCTGCAGTAAAATTAGGGAATTATGGGTACATGTTCAAGAAAAACTCAGGAGTGATGTGATGAGGCATAGGTACACTCATTGGGTAAGTGGAGGACACCAATAACAATCTTATCTGAAGGCAGACATTTTATATACATACACAATTTAAAATGGTTCTAAAGCCTTAACATGTTGTACCCTAATGCACTCCTTGCATTAAGGCAAAAATGTTTAGCGGCATCGGTATCCCCATATTTGTCTATAAATGACTACCCACAAGACATAAAATAAATCATGCAGCTTAAAACAGGCCATACACTTAGTGAATTTTGTCCAGTTCTTAATGAACAGGCTAAAATCTATCAAGTGGGTCATCCCATTGGCCACCTTCCACCCAAAATTGCTTGACTGAAAAAATTCAAAAGAGCTGGTCGGAAACATTGTTGGCTGAATTGACTGCAACCAATCAAATGGGTTTGGGTATTTTACCGGCTGATGGGGCCAGTTGTCAAAATTCAATAGCTGCAGTTAGAGATTCGTCCATCTTCGCTTTGCAGAGCGGATGGAGGAATCTATTAAAAAAATCTATGTATATGGCCAGCTTTACTGCTTTTACAATGATGTGTATGCAGACAACCAAAAATCATCACACTCCAACCTGACAGATCAAAATATATTTTTACTATGCTATTGCCATCACTAATTCGATACTGTATGCTCTGGGGAGTCTTTCCATTGTTAAGATGACTTTGTTGCCTGACACAACTGGCTCACTAAGTAGATAAAAACATCTCACTATCCTCCTATTCAGCAATCCACCCAGTACATCTTATTTTATTTTTAATAGGGCAAGTAATAAAAATGTGTTCAGGTGGAAAGAAGTATCATCTAAAGCTATATACCATCAGTTCCTTTGTGAACACAGCCGCTAGCAGTAGGCATGAGCTGCTGGTGACTGCCAGCTTCAGAATTACTGTATCCTTCTGGCGGCTCTGACAGTGTTCCCTGGGAAGAAAGGTAGCTTGGAATATCAGCCGGTAAATTCATGTCCTCTGTGAAGAGAGTGAGAAAATATGTCAAGTTCACATGTATTGCTATACAGTAACAAGCCCTATCTAAAATACACATGATCCTCTAAAACATTTCTCAAGAATACAAAAAGTAGAACATGAGAAGAAAAAAAAAATGTGACCTATGGGCAATTTTGCAGCAAGCCTCCTCCTTTCAAAAGATATTTAACAATCTCTCTTTATTTACTGATTAAGATATAAATAACTATAACATGTAGCCCTAATTGCAACCGACCGTTTAAAAAAAAACACTTTTAGACACAAAGCTCTTGTATAATAATTCCCACAAGCAAATGGCACAGAAAATTGAGTGTAAAAAAAAACTGTCACAAACAAGCTCTTTAAAGACCATTAATTAAATGTATTCAAAGTCTAACTCCCATGAACCCCATATAATAAATGGCAATAGCTAATATGAAGTGTTTTGTTGTTTTTAATGCATTCCCAAATCTTTTTTTCCAGTCTGCTATGTGGTAAGCTGTACAATTAACTAACACATTTAGTACTTAAGGCACATAACTACTAGGACTAAATCAGTCTGAGAAGTGAAAGCAAACTAAAACATGATTAAAGTAGAATAGGCAAAACTTTTTGTTTTCATTTAGAGTAGAGGAGGATTATAACCCTATTTTTATTTTTGCATTCTGTGTCCCATTGGGGAGTCTTCCCTTCACTTCCTGTCCGATAAACAAACAAGGAAGTGAGAGGAAATCCTATTAAGGTGAGGGAATCCTTGGTTGTCACCTGAACCACCAGTACTAGTATTCCCCATTGAAAGATATCCCCACTATTTAGGTTCTAGGGACAACCCAAAATGTGGAATTTTCTATTACTTTCAATGATAATGGTAAACAGGGCAAATAGAGAGGGTGAATCTCCGTAACGGCTACAGACAGCAATAATAACCTAATAGGTGTTCTAATATCTTTCCACTCTATTCACAGTTTAAAGTTTTACTAAAACCAGGAGCCTGCAGTCATATCTAATCTCCCACAGTACACAGAACATGGAAGTGCGATTATTTTAGTAAATATAAACTGCTAAATACCTTTTCTCATCAGTAGTAAGAGCAGTCTTGTGACTTCAGCAATGCACTGGTTAAAGCTTGTAGGAATTTTCTTTCTGCTCTAGGAGGATGTAAAACCCCTAACCCTCTGTCTGGACAGTGCTCATTGGCCCTGTGCTGATCACATGCACCATCCCAAGAAAAAAAAAAAAAAAAAAACTGAGCATGTGTATGTGACCACAGGTTCAGTCTGTATCAGGTGGACATTTCAACAAGAGGAGGGGCAGAGAAGAAAGGATCAGAGGTTTTATACAATGCGGAGGATTAACCCCTTAGGTTCCACAGTGAGTATAACAAGCATGCTATACTGCATATACAGACTGATTTTACTGTTGTGGGTGTAGTAACACTTTAAAAAAAGTTTTGCCTTTACTATACTTCAATCTTTACAAAACTGGAGAATCTTCAGAATGCATTTAAATGAAAATAAAGTGGCAAGAAAAAAAAAAAAAGCACTTGTATGATCTCTCTTCCTCCAAAAAGTAGTACTACATCCTGAGCTCTGATGACTTATTCGCAGGCATAGTGGACTTGAGTGTCCAGAAGGGGGCCTAGAAGGGCCAAAAGGACTAGCCAAATAAACAAGAGTAGGATAAAGGCCTCTTAAGCGCAGTAAGAGAAGAACCGGATGTCTGATGCAAGTCCAACCTCTGCTCGGCCTGTGAGCAGAAGGAACTCATATCACCCGTGAGGTTCTTCCTGGTGTCGCCTAAGGTAGTACCAAACAGGCAAGTCCCCTGGAGGGAGAGGTCCGGCAGACCCACACAGAAGTCTGATCAGCATTTGAGTCAAAGCAATCTCTGAAGCCCACTACCGAGACAGAGGGCGTAAAAGGAAAGGATCAATATCTGAAGATAGAGTACATACGTAATTCAGGCTCTGGACCAACTGGTCAGCCAGGTCCACATACATCTGATCCACGTCTTGAGTTCAAAACTCGCCACAGAAAACCTGGACCAATAGTAAGCATAAAATACCGGGGCCGTGACCAACCTAGGCTGTAAGGTGACCATGCCATGGTAATGAACAGCCGTTTACAGATTCTGCCCCAAGGTCTAAAACTCTGTTACCAGTATGCTGGTGGAAATATGCCACCTAGCAATGGGGAGAACCGCCACGGAAGGCGAGTTTCACTTCTGCCGAAGGGCCTACTCCAAAGGGGTAACGTACCACATGCGCTATGGCCACAAAAGCTGCCTTGGGTGTTCACAGTGCAGTAGAGGAGGCCAGAGAGTGAAGTGCCCCACCCCAGGGCCCTCCCACAACCACCTCTCAACAAAGGACAGGCGCCAGGCTCAGCGGTGGTAAAAACCCGCAGGGAAGGGCAACAGCCCTGATCAATAATGGTGGAAGTTGCACTGATCCGGTAGGCCACAAATGTGTGGCCTCAATTGCTGGGTGGGCCAACCGCATGGTGAGCGCATGCGCAGTAAGCCCAAACCTGTGACCCTGGCCAGCAAAGGGGGAGCAGAGGCATCCCCAGCTCATCACACCAGGTGAGCATACAAAGTTTCGGCACACAGATAAAGCTGGTACCCGCAGCCTCAAGGCTTCAACCCAGGCACAGTGCCACAGTACTACCAGCGGGTTCAGTCAAGTTGAAACCAAAAGGGTTTGCTGCCCAGGCATACACTGCACAATGCCCCTGCATCAAACCCCCACTACATCACCATATTATGTGAAACTAAGGAAACTTGGTACCCACTCCCGCACCAACGGGCCCCAGAGGAAAGGGGGGGAATGCAAAGGGATCCAGGCCTATGGGGGAGGATAGGACCCCACAGGACCGATTGCCTCAGGGAGTACCCACGCCCCACACTGCATCTGGGAAGGAAGGAGAGGGCATCTACTTACCGATCCTGCGGAGCATGCGGGTAAGGTTCCCATGGCAGATACTCCTCTCCATCGAAGTGGGGGCTGTCGGTCAGAGTAACACTGACATGGACTGTAGGTGGCTGGTCATATGTGTCTCTGCGAGACGTTTAACTCGCTGGCTGCCCCGGTCTCCAGGATGGAACTTAATCGCAGCCGACTTAGTGCTTAGCTAAAGATCTGTGCACGTACGCTGGCCAGACTGGGGTGAACACTGGATCTAGATTGTTCAGCCCGACTGTTGATAGAAGATCTCCACAGGAAAAAGAAAAAAAAAAAAACCTATGGAACCCACAGGTCCCATCAGGGGGACTAGGTCCTTAGTCCTGAACAATAAAAAGAAAATCTGGATTGCCTATAGCAGAGAGGGGGTTATAAGTCAGAAGGGACTGCGCAAAAGGGGTGCTGAGTTCTTTTCTACCTAGTGTGCTATTCCTGTAGGTGGCGATTCAACCCTATGGTCAAAGTCTCAGAAGAGCTGTGTCCAGAATAGCATTTATGACCACTGTGTTTAGTCCTCTGCTACTTCACCGAACCACAACATATCCAGGCACTATAGCTGAAATCCAGTATCACCACTTGTCTTTGCTAATAAAACAGGGGTCTAGCAAAACCAGCAGCAAACTAAAACAGTGCAAAACGGAAAACTCACCGGTGCTGGTTATGCTGTAATCTTCGTTTTTCCTCCGCATATGGTATATGACAATAACCCAGACCAACGATGTTCCCACCACACAGCAGACAACGACAATTATAACAATGCCCACAGTAGTCCAGCCATCTTCTTCATAGCCTATGACATTTTGGGAAGAGTCGCAATTGGGGGATGACAGTACGTAAAGGTTAATGTGACCTCTTTCAGTTCCAAGCGTATTGGACATGCTACATGTGTATTTCCCTGCATCTTCAGGTCCTGTATCTACAATGATGAGCAGTTGATTTGCAGCAGCAAAGAAATGTCGCTCAGTGACCACCAGGGGACCATCATCTTTAGTCCAATTCAAACGTGGAGCTGGGCTTCCCCCAGCTATACACTGCAGTACAGCAGTCTCCCCCACGAGCAACTGTTCTGTCTTCTAGGGGTCTTATGAACGATGGAGTTTCTGAAACAAAAGCAATGGAAACATATGATCATGATGCATACAAAAAGTAAAAACAAAAAAACCACCTAAATTACAACATACTTGCTGCACATTGAAGCGTTATTTATAACAAGTGCAAAAAATTATATATGGTATATGGAGTCTCATGAGACATTACAGCTCTCATTATCAACTCCAATACACTTACACACATTGGTTTTTGTGGATAAAAGCACAAACAGCTTTCAATTATTCCCACAGCTGTCACAAATCTCACTGTAAATTGCTGAATAATTTTATTTTCTAGGATCACCATCTAGTGGCTATAATGTAGTATTTTCCTGATTAAGGTTATTTCAGGAAAATACCACATTATGGCCATTAGATGTAACTAGCAATCCTAGGAAATATATTAGGTAAACTGCGGTGAAGACGTTTTTACAAATAATCTTAAATAGTCTAAGTACCTAAGTCAAAAAAATCAATTATATAAAGAGGTGCAGTGCTGAGATCAGAAATGACAAAAATAGATAAGGTGCAATAAATCCAACACACTGCAAAGGCAATCATGAACCAGCAGAAATAAACAAATATATCACGGTTCCGAAGCAATCTGTAAAGTGATGATAGTGCTTATAAAGTGACCATAAATAATTACATGTATGAGTCCATAAAGTGAAAAAGTGAAATATAAATATACGTAATACCACTCAAGGTGGTTAATAGTGCTATGATAAAGTGACAAAGTCCAAAAAAAGAAAGGTGAAGATCCAATGTAAAGATCTCAGGGTATGGTGATCTACTTCCTATCCCCAATCATGTGGTGATGTACCAAGTAATAGAAGAATTGCGCACTCACCAGATGCGCAATAACATCACGCATTTGAGAACACAAACTTCTCAATGGGTCAGCCGGATCCTCTTAAAGGCAAGCACAACCTGGTCTGGATTCCCCCTCTGGATCATCCATGGTCAGCAGCACCTCTCTCCTCCTCCTTACACAGCTCTGTGGGTAGTTAAGCTCACAAGGAGCTCAAAGAAAGGAAGCCAAATAGTGTGATACCGCTACAGAGGGTGTTTATTGCTTCCAACACAGGTAACAAAGGTAAATACAAATGAACACAGAACTGACCATGTGTTTACAAAGATGGCCGCCAGACCTGCAAGAGGCCCCGGCGGTGTGAGGTCACAACGTTGCAGCTCCCTCTGACGCGTTTCGTGCTCTAGAACATACTCACAGGGGGTGTGCCTGCAACATCTGATGTCTTGTGTCTCTATATATAGCGCAAAAAGGCGTGTGCGCACTTCACGCCCGCCATTTTGTTGACTATCCGGCACCTGCACATTACGTGGGCGCCATTTTGTCGTGGATCATTTTCATAGCAAAAGAGCCATCTTTATTTGGACAGAATGCGTGCTCATATGGGTGCCATTTTCCTAAGGATATTGCAACTGAATGCCACTTAGATCACCAGGGATTGACAAAAACCAAAAACATTATCAGTTCAAAAATTCCAGATATGGAATGCTCGCAATACAAACTGAATTGCCAAGGGGGGAAATTACATACTTGTATAACGTGATCCCGCAAGTAGCCATTACCTGCGCATGCACAGTCAACACAACCCATATGTAACAAATCTATATTATTGAATTGTGATTCATATGCATATGTTAGACTATTCGAAGTAAGGTTATGGGTATACCCTCAGAGTAAATGCACTCCAGGAGAGAAAAAGAAAAGGGGAGGTCATTATAGTTTTCCTGGTGAGCATAGCAGCATTGTAATATTACAATCTGGTTCATAAAAATAACATGCTGAAGTTACTAGATCAACAATCTATGTAACTTATATCCTGGTTAGGTCAGTTCAAATCAGTACAGTTAAAATTAAAATAAAAGATAATAAAATCACGCAATAATCACTGTATGTGATCAATAACATATATATGATCTATATCATATATTAATATTCCTCTGTGGGTAAGTAAAATAACTTTATTAAGATACATCCTAGTAATAAAACCAAAAAAGATAAAAATAAAATTACAAAATGAATAAAAACTAAAAAATAGGCCCAAAATATAGAATAGAATAACCTAAAAAATAGAATAAAATAACCATAAAAATTTACGATAATAATAAAATTGGGAGTAAAAAACGGGGCCAGGAGGCCAATATAAAAATTTATAAAATGTGGAGGGGCAAGAAATCTCAGCTCAGCTATTGTCTATAAAACAATTGATGTCCATCTCAATATTGAGCCCTTTAGGATATAGGGTACCTATTTCAAAAAACCATTTGGACTCAAGCTGAGAAACAGCCCTTCTTTTATTGGTTCCCCTCTAATGTGCTTTAATAAAATCAATTTACGAAGATGGATCCCTATTGTGACATAACCTGTAATGTTCAGAAAGCGAGTGTTCCTTGTAGCCCCTTTTAATATTATACACGTGCTCTCTTAAACGGTCTCTCAGTCTTCTCGTAGTGCGCCCAATATATTGCTTTTTACAGGGGCACTCTAATAAATATACAACAGGCCTACTATTACATGAGATGAAACTATCAATATCATATCTTTCCTGTTGTGGAAGAAGTAAAATCCTTAACCTTCTTTTTCCTGCTGTTATTGCACAGACATATAACACATCTATTACAAGGAAAGAATCCTTTCATCTCAGCGAAGAAAGCTGTATTTAGCGGGGGGTTGATCACCTTTGGAGCTATCCTATTCCTCAAAGGCATAGCTTTTCTAAAAGTGATCTCAGGTTTGTTGGGTAAAATTTTGGCTAAAATGGGATCTGCTTTTAAAATCTTCCAATTGTTGTTAATAATCTTAGTGACAGTTTTATGCTGAGTAGAGAACGTAGAAATAAAAGGACATACTTTGTTTCACTACATCTCCCAACATTTCCTCTCTATTACTATTGGCCACCATTTCCAAAGTATAGCTCAATGCGGACTCATCATATCCCTTCTCCAGAAACCTATCCTTCAAAATAGATGCTTGGGAATATTAAGTATTAATATCAGTGCAGTTCCTTCTAATTCTGAAAAACTGTCCTTTAGGGATATTTGATAGCCAAGCCGGGTGGTGGGAGCTGTCTACTGGAATATAACTATTCATATCAGTTTTTTTTTTTAAATGATTCCATTATGATTCTGCCACCTTGATTTAACAGAGTCATATCTAAAAAATTAATACTTCTTATACTATAATCAAAGGTTAACTTAATGTTCATCGTATTGTTATTTAAGGTGCCAAAAAAGTTGAGAGTGCCTGCTCCTCACCATTCCATATCAAAAAGATATCATCAATGTACCTCCTATAGAAGGAGAGCTCTGGCAATTCTCTGGCATATATGATATCTTCTTCCCATGTGGCCATAAAAAGATCGGCCAGGCTAGGAGCAAATTTTGCTCCCATGGCAACTCCCTTGGTTTGTAAGTAAAATCTATAGTCAAACCAGAAACCATTTTTTGTCATCGCAAATTCTAAAATCCTTAATATAAAATATTTCTGTAAAAACGGTATAATCACTAAAACCATCCAGGTAAAATTTCACAGATTGCATTCCGTCTGAATGACCAATATTCGTATAGAGAGATGCAACATCAGCAGTAACTAAAAACGTTGAGGATTCTATCACCAAATCTTTAATGTCCTGAAGAACATGTTTGGTGTCCCTCAAATATGCTGGAGTTTTAGTCACAAGTGGCTGTAAAAAGTGATGTATTCTCCAGCTCTGGAACAAAGCGATCCAATCCCACTAATGATTGGTCTGCCTGGAGGGTTATTGGAGTTTTTATGAATTTTAGGGAGTATGTAGAAGACTGGTAGCCTTGGGGCAGAAGGGCAAAGAAAATCCTTCTCTTTTTTTTTTACTAATAACCTTATCCTCGTAGCCCTTAATCAATTTTTTACAGGTAGCAGTACTTTATGCATAAGGATACTATATTTAAATAAAAGTTTTGCCCCGTAGCATAGAGCTTGTGCACACCTAGCGCATGCCGATAAGACACCCTTTACTGCAATACAGCGATAGCAATGTGTGTGTGTGTGTTGCTATTCATCGGGAATAGAAACCTAATGCGAATTCACAACACTTCCGTAGGACAGCGCACCACAATCCTGGATGTACATTGTGATATGCTGCAATTAACAGAGATACTGCAGGGGCAAAAGAATTCAACATAATTAGGCTGCCTTAATGCAGCACAACTCAAAGCATGCTATAGCGCATAACGAGAGCACACAATGTTGCAAATAGGTCCATAAGTGTGTGTCAATCCAAAAGAGACATTTCAACTTTTGGTAGATGCTGGAGAGAGAAATCACCTAGCAGTTTTTGTATGTCTCATGGGTTGTAGTGATGTGAGTTCCAAGCATGAGTTACCATTATAACACAACTGCAACCATCTCAAGATTGCAACTGCACCTGTTAGATCTTTATTGATTTAATAATATGGACAAAAGGAGGAGCAAGAACACCCCACATGCCAAGATAGTTTTGAAAAAGCAAAGAAATATGACAAAGAGGATTCCACTGGCTAGTGATAAGTATATACTAAAAAAAAATTAAAAACTAAAATATGGAATGGATGAGATTTTGTAGAAACGCGATCACCTCAAATCACTAATAATGGGAGTAGGTAATTAGCTAGATTACTAAATGACCCAGATCACCCGTTTTCCCATGCTAGAAAATTATCTACAAACTATTTGCTGGAATAAGCAACTGAACAAGATTGTAAGGTATTTACTATACATCTTAGATTGTAAGCTCCAAGGAGCAGGGCCCTCCTAACCCGTCTGAATCATGTGATCAGCTTTGCACAATCACAGCTAATCACAACAAAAGACTGAATAAATCAGTTTCATTCAGTAACAATGATGGCAAATATCAATGAAATACATTGGTATTAGCAATCATAATGTATTAAAAGAAAAAATCCTGATCACTTGC